AATATGATAAAAAAGTCATAGGTTAGTATGTCGTCCAGAATATGGTAAAAAAGCATAGTACATTACAGCATGTGATAAAAATGTCAGAACAAATTTTCTCGACACTCTCATGACATTCGTATAGTTTAATCAAACAAACCACAGCTAGTTTTTTCATGGTAATGATGCACACCTGGTTAATAGACCCTGGAATAAGCCGCTCCATCTCCGGCCCTTCACCAGTATCCTGTCCTTCACCTGAGTAGAGACACAAGACACAATGTTTAAATCTCTTACAGTGAGCCACTTTAACCTGTTGTGAATGTCCTTTATATACTTATATCTGCATGACACTTTAAAAAAAGATGATAGAATCAGGACAATATTCAAGTCTCACTTGAGCCTCTGTAATTTGTAAAGTCTTTTTGGATGTTAGTAGAATTATTAAGGTGGAAATACAGTTTCAATTCTGACAGTGGGATGAATTACATAATTGTCATGTTCACAGTTTTTTTTGTTTTACAGGCGCAGTGTTTGTGTTCCCCCCCGAGACACTACTCCCAGAGCGGCCATGCAGTGAAGGAGTGACCTATGTGAATATTCCCGTTAGTCCAACATCAAAGAAGCAACTCAACTACATGGAGCTGGAGCTGCAGGAGCCAGGGCCTGGCGCCCGAGGGCCCGTCGCACATCTACCAGCTCAGAGTAAGTGTGCGTCTGGAATAACCTCTGATCTCCGTACAGTTTTATCTTTCATATATTAATCGTGCTGCATTTTTACCTTAATCAAACAGCGGCCATGTTGTACAGTCGTGGAGGCAAACGCCACCTGTGGAGAGAAAAAGTCTTTTAGATAATAGGAAGCTTCATTAACTCATTTAAAACATTGGAACTTAAGAATACTAACAGCAAACGTAATGGACCAGTGCCCTGTTCATTAGAGCACTTCAATTCTAAAGGTGATCTTTAAAGATTAGATTGTGCTTCTAATGAAAGTATTAAATTGTAAGTAATACGACCTCCGCTTTGTGCTTATTGTATTTCTTCTCATTGTGTAACAGACTTATTTCTAAGATTTGTGAACCAGCAGTTTTCTATTTAATGCATTGTTCTGTTCAAATCATGCAGACAGATACGAGAGAGCTTCATTTTAGAAACACCAGGATATCGATACCAAGCAAAAGAGGAAACATGATTGTGTAATTCCATTTTACTCCGTCAAGAGTTACAGGAATCGCTCGCAAACGATTGAGTTGATGACGTCGTTGCACTAAAGGACAGCTGAGTCCTTGTCATCGGAGACTCCGCAATGAGCTGTAATTGACAGACAAGTTGGCTATTAGCGTGTGTGCCCTCAGGAATACGAGGAACGCTCCGACATGAGAGGTTAACATGTGATGTCAGCAATACAGTTTATATCCCAGCCAGCGCTCTCATTAATTTGTCACCTGGGAGGAGGGGGGGGTGTCCTATTGCCTCTGAAAAAGGGGGCATTCAGATCGCAGCTGTGAACTCACTGGCTCTAATGGGATCCTCCTCCAGGGACTGATAATGTGTTGTGAGGAGCTGGTTTGGATTTCCTTGACTTAATGTATCTGTGAAAGACATAATTCAAGCAGGAGGCAACAATATCATGACGTGAATTTATTGATATTCATATGCTGCTGAGATTAAACCCTGACGTCTTGCTTATTTGAATTTCACATAAGGAAGGGCGCTGAATTATGGTAATGCTCGCGATGTGCATATGGAAGACAAGTGCATGAGGGGAATTTTAAAGGCTTCACTCGACTCATTTGCATATTCTTCTGATTTGCATGGTGACGCCCGGTCACGTACTTCAAGCAGTCGTGTTGACAGCGAGGGCAGAGATCCACTTCTCTCTGAACCCTGTGTCACCTTTGTTTGGAAATTTGACAGTCAAAAATTCTAGATTTTTTAAAAAGATGATTCAGCAATGTCACCGTCATTTTATCTTCTTAATCAAGTGCAACAATGGAACGTGTGAATGACGACAAATGTTTGCAATAAAAAATCAGAGTTAGGTGCTTAAATTTTAAAGCTCGTCTATATGAGATGTTACAGGACAGGTGCTTGAAGCATCCACAAAAGGAAAAACACCTACACAATGATCTCAAATAAAACAGCAACTGGTTTGTCTACGTTTTCACAAATGACGGCTCCCTTGACAACAGTAACTATTCAACGACAACATCAAGGTACTAAACGGTTGCTAGTGTTAGCTTAGCACAGCCTCGTAACTGTTTAATATTGTACAGACACGAGTGGTATCAAGCCTCTCCCAACGCTGCAAGAAAGCAAATAATTGCATTTTGCTGAACTAAACTTTTTAAGTGATGAAATGATGACTAACTATGTGCTACCCAAAGAGAAAGATGGATATTGAAATAAACATCTTTCAAGAGAATATTTTTGTGTCTTGACAGGGAAGAGTTCTACCAAGTACGCCCAGATTGACATCACTGCCACAGAGACTGCCCACAAAGTCGGAACGCAGCATGCTCTAGGTCGGCAGGAGGGCCTGCACACTCTGGAGCTGAGAAGAAAGGGGACGCCCCATTGACTTTCTTCATCACTGAGCTGTTGATCCTAGCAGGATGTTTCTGCCAGAGACTGGCTCACCATGTCGAACTATTCAAGAAGTATGACTCTGAGGGGTTTTTGTCTGATCCTCTGTTCCATCCAAAGATCCTGAGATTTAACTGTCAGTCGATGGAAAACAACAGAGACGCAAAGTTGCCTCCACCACCTTGCAAATGCCATCTGCCAAAAGTCCATTTTTTCAGACCTGTTTCTGCATTCACACGGCAATAAAAAGATGGCGTCTCCTCTGAAAAGTCTGACACAGGATCAGGAGCAACATTTCAATCTTGGTCTGCTTTGGGGACTTAGACATCTCATTAAGTGGAATTATGTCAGCGCCAGAGCCTCAGGCAAACTTGGAAGAAGTGCGAGTCCTGAGCTGAGTCACCGGCCCTGATAAACCCCCACTGAGGCATTTCACAGTTTACTCAGACCATCACCAATAACACACAGTGTGCTGTTTTTGTTCTTGTTTGGGAGAACGAGACACAGTGGTGGCAGGAGAGAAAAGAGACATTTGTCTCATTAGGAGTTCACACTCACTTATTCCTCACTGATCAGTAATTCCACAATCAGCTGCCAGAACTCTTAAATATAATCAAATTTAGGTCAAAACTGTTCATCCAGTCTTACTCAGAAAACTGCACATTCAGACTAGTTCACTGTTAAAAAGATTCAAGTTAGACCAGGCTAATTAACGGCTCTGCAGAATTTCCATATTGCGCACAGTGACTTTTGTTTGCCTGAGAGTAAGAAATGGATTTGATTTATCACATGAACAGAATATCAATGCTGCTATTGTTTTTTTTTTGCCTTCAGTTTTCATATACTCTTCATAAATAATGCAAAGCCGAGCGGATGGTGAAGTCTCTGGATATTTTAAAATACTCTATAATAACAGATGTTTCCTAAAAATGCCACTCTTGGTTATTGTTGCTAAATAATGCAGTTGAATTTGTATTTAATTAATTTTTTAATTAATTGGGGTTAAAATCTCATCCTTTGTACTAATATTCCTTATTTTCTTTGCACCGAGGCATTTTTTTATGAAATCTCATAAATGATAACGTAAGTTGGTTTGTGTTTAGAGGTTTTTTTTCTCTCCTATTCTATTTTGACATTTGTAAATATGTTCTTTCTATTTAGGTGATGTGGATTGTACATTGCAAAATATACATAAGACAATGTATGTACAGTAAAGCGCTATTTTGTTTCTGTAAATTATTTGTAACTTTAACTACTGCTTTGACGTGTGTTCAGTTATAAACCAGTATAAGGTGCCAAATAAAACAAATTTACAAATATTTGTTATGGTTTTCTTTTAGACTATTATGCACAATATGCAGGTAATGTGACATAAGTGAACATTTGGGCTAAAAAATAAATGCAATTAAAAAGCTACTATAACTTGATTCAATTCCTCATTTCAAGTAAAACAGATGAATAAAAAGATTAAAATTCCCAATTAAGAGCCATTTCCTAGTTTGCCTTTGTATTTTGAAGGAAAAATGTAAGACTTCAAATTTTATATTCATTAACTTATGGGTGTGCCTGTTATTAGACACCCTCTGGTGGCCACAATAGACATAGATGTGTTGCCCAACATTATTTTTGAAAACATGAACAGTCTAATTTAGTTAGTATGTAAGATATTTGGTTATTTTGTCTGTTGTAGCAGTTAAGCTACCAAATTAAAGTTTAATGTGCCTGAGATGACACTAAATACTACTGAGTTATTTGGGATTGAAAGGAAATGCACATCAGACTAATTCAGATTTACTTAATGACCTTAAATGCAGGAGGCATAGCTTGATGATCCTTACCTCTCATTGGGCTTTCTTCTCATTTCTCTTCTAGTCCCATTGTTGAATACAGGAGGTAACAAACACCTGTGAATCAAAACACAAACGTTACCATTGTTGAGACTGTGGTACTCGGTGAGCGCGTACCTCGGACAAGACAACAGCCCTATCTAGCTGTGTTAAAGAAAGTGGGAAAAAAAAGCCTGGATCTGCTCTAACAAGTTCTTTGTTGGATCATGTCCTACCTCTCCAGAAAATTTCATGAAAATTGGTTTTAGCGCAATCCTGCTAACAAGCACACTAATGCTGATGAAAATAGCTTGGCGGAGGTAATCATTTTTGTAGTACCTCAGCTGCAGGATCTGTACGGACAGGGCCACAGGACCAGCGTCGACCAGCAGACACTTGGTTTGTAAGTGGAGTCAAAACGTGTTTACAGGGAATGGTCTTGAAGCACCAGTCTGGTCATGTGAGAAATCTGGAAGACAAAAAGTAGAATTTGCACATTAATTTCAAAGTGAGGTCCAAATCCAAAGCTTCCTCACATGGGGACTACTAATAGGAATTGTTCCTCTCCCACATAATCTCAAGATGGTGATGTATGGTCTGCCAGCTCTCAGAGAGACATGATTCGCATTGACTCGTCACACAGTCACTTGCACTGCGGACATTAACTTCACTGACCTGTTTCTTGGAAACTCATTTACTCATTAAATTTAGTTGGAGACTAGAAATAAAGCTTAATTGTCTGTCTCTGCAGTCAAATATTGATATAATAAATAAATGATGATAATGTCAGAGAAACTGGTGGCAGTAATTTAATTAATGAACTATGCAATGCCATAATCAGCTTGTAAGTAATTGCTGTGCCTGTTTTCAATGACAGAAACAGCAGTTTAGTTTTAGTCTGTTTTAATCTCGACACAGATCCCTCTCATAAAGTCCAAGTTTCCAGTGCAAGAGAGATCGTGTAGTGTGAACGTGGCCACTTGAGGGTTTAAACATTAGGCCTCTGCATTGAAGGGAGCTGGTCTCAGCTATGTTATAATAATAATAATAATAATATCACTGACACTCTAAAGCTTTGACAGGAAAATAAATCTAGATTTTTCTCTCTTGGACTTCAGGCTTGGTTTTGCACTTCTTGAGACTGACTAACCAGGACTCTTAATTTATCTAAAGGTCTTAAAATCTATCTGGGGAATAGAAAGTTTCAGCGGCAAGAGTAAGTATATCGATAAATTATAAACAACCATAATATATTGGATACAATACACAGGCCTTGAGGCTTTACTTGCTAATATTGAATACATCACTCAAATGTTCACAGTGCAGGTTGAAACTGTGCGTGAACCCTGAAGGTAATAAAATCAACATGAGTCGAGAGTTCGAAATTTTGCAGCTCAACAGCTCTTATCTGCGGTCGACAGTCGCTCAGACCAGACAGCCAAAGAATTCAAGGGTTCTACTGCTGAAGGATTCATAAATATACGGAATATTAGAATTGTTTGAGTGTTTTTAGCTAAAGCACATTGTGTTTGTCTACACTTGTGATTTAATTGCAGGTTATATCACATATTGTGACAAATTAATGCAGAACACCAGGTAATTTCATTTTCCTGCCTCTGTACAGTGGGTCCACCAAACACAGGCTGTACATGCTGTGTATAAAAATCCAGGATCACTCAGTTCTGTTCTCTGCACTGGTTTAATTATCTGAACTTCCGCTCACTCTGTTCTAAGAAAATTACATCTACTGAATAAGTAATTGGTATTTGCAAATCAAACTGTCTGCTCTGCTTTGTCAGAAAACAAATTCAAGCAACTCAAATCTGTTCAATTATTCATGGAGGGTCATTTTTTCCCCTCTCTACTTTTTAGTACTTCACTGACCTTGCTGCTCCTTTCATACGACTGAGAAATAAGGACTCAATTTCATAAATTATTCAAGAACCGTGAGAAAGGATTATTTTCAGGCTGTAGCACTTTTGGGCAAGACAAGAAAATGCTGTCACAAAGTGCATTAATAATTCTTCAAGAACATTAAATACATAATTGTTTGTTCAGATAAAAGTAATTGTTGAGCCTCAGTGACTGCTCAAGTGTCTCTGAAGTCAAATGACCATAACTTGACCTTTTTTCTTCACTCTTGTAATAAACCCTGTCTTCCTTACAGGACATTAAGTCAGAGGTCTGTTTTAGTAGAACGGGCTGGAAAAGCCTTGATACAAAGTCTTCAGGACTCGGCTCAGTCCCTACAAGAGCAATGAAACGACAATACTGAGACTCATTTGTAGGGTAAATGGCTGCCTTCAGATAAACATGTCTGAGGTAATGAATGTCAGGTGAGACTTTGTGTTACAGTTTGTTATTCTTCGATTTCATGTCCTTCTGGCGCATGAATGGAGTCATGAAAAAGGTTAAAAGATTTGTTTTGAGTTTCGAAACGACTTGCAAGCGTGTAACGTCACCAGTGTTGAGTCTAGCTTCACTAACTCTTGAGCTACGGCCTCTCGACGCGTGCACTGATGCTTGAACCTACAACCTCATGGCTTCTAAGTAAATGTTACGCTTCCACAAATAGCAGCTGATCGGTTTATCTGTCGGAAGTGATTTGTTGCAAATGGTCAAAGCCTGCAGGGTTTCCAAACGGCAACCCAATAAACTCCAGCCGTTGACCTTTTTGCTCTAGTCATCGGGCACTGGTCATTGGCCTTGTTCAGCCCAACTCGATTATGACCTCTAATGTCTCACACAAACTCACATAGAGCCTATTGCAGTCAGTGCCCAGGAGGCATCTCAAGAGGAAACATCTTAATCTTGTTCTCCCCCCCCCAGTGCAGACTTCATTCTCTCTATGGTGCAGCGGCCCTCCTGCTTGATGCTTTGGGTTTTCTTTGTGTTGCTCATTTTCTCTTTCAAATGTGCTCATATGCTGATAATAGTCTTTTATAATTGTCTAATTATATCATAGTTTCATAAGACTCTAATATACCAGGCATTCAGCGTTGTTTAAGGACAGCTAGGGACACAGTCATCACCATTATCTCCACACGACGCAAAACTGTTCATCAGTGATATAACTGACACTGCAAGTGTTTTTCTCTTCAGATCAGTCTTAACTAATTTTATCCCCCCTTTTTTTTTTTTTTAACAGTCTCAACATTATAAAGTAATATAGTATAAAAAAATCTATGGGTCTTTAAATATTGATTAAAGTTTGGTTGATTACCGTATCTGACAGCTAAATACCACTACTGATCACTACACCGAAGAGACTAACAATTTTTTTCTATGTAAAATGATTGAAAAGGAGACGATAACAGCTTTTGCGAGGATTACCAGGGTTTAAAATGTTCTGTCCTCGGCCAGATAACACCTTGACATACAGGATATATGAATGTAATCACTCCAGGCAACAAACTCTAACTCATTATCTGTTAAGCTGCTCCAGACTGTGCTTCCAATCTCTAGATATGATACACTCAGTTATTGCTTAAGGAGGGACTATCATCTATAAAATATTGATTGCACACTCTACTCAGGCTTGTAACGTATCTGAAATCATTCGTATAACGTCAAGAATTCCATGAAATCGACAAACAGCTTTTGTTTTTTACCGTGTGTTTGAAAATTCTGGAATATTTCAGTAAAACCACAGATGCTCCCTGACACATGGGGTGAGTTGCTGTTCGTTTGGGTGTGAGTTACATAACGCACCAAATGGGGACTGTTTTTTCTCTTTAGGCACTTAACAACAACGAAAGCCCAGAACAACACAAACACTTCAGCCTGATGCTCGTCTGCTGACTGTTACTGAAAAGGAGAGAGACAACAAAAACTGTCAAGTGGCTCAGAGAACAAGTGCAATAACAACAGCCCACTTAGTGACATCATTACCTCGCCACTAAAGCTCATTTTTAGTTTTTTTTTCCTCCAACATTTGTTTTGTTTATATTATCTATTGATTTCCATTAGTCGGTTCGGACAAAGTGAAGCACTGATGGCTAAATGTGATCGTCCTGCAGCTGAACTTCTTTCAGTGCAAATTATTTGGCTCCGAATCCTAGTTTCCTTTTACCTTTGTGTTCTTTACATGACCTCGCTGTGCTGTATTTGTCTTGATATTCTTTTCAGTTTAACTCTATTGTCTTTCCTGTCTGTGCTTCGCAGGATGCAAAAGAAAATGAACTTTGATTTCAGTTGCATCCCTTCATTAAAATCAACGGTAATTAAAAATATCTAAAGACGTCTGATACAGGAATATGTGGTCTACACTAAAGAAAACCAACTCTTTCAACTAAAGTTTGAATGGCAGCTCACACACTTATACATCATACAAATATATATTCTTAAAAAGTATCTGTTAGTTTGATTATTTTTTGAAAGGAAATCACTACATATTGTTCTGAACAGCTCCTGCCATTAAATCATCATTAGACATTTCGTTTCACAGAGCTTCAGAGTAAGAGTCTGGGACTTCGTAGACCTGTCTATAGTAAGTGCTCCTACACAGTTCTAACAGCAGTGTATTATTTTAACAAACATTTAGTCTGTGCACAAATTGAACCTTTTCACAGGGAATTCTACTCAATCAGACAATAATACTTTACAATGAGAAATCCCCCTGGAGACTTTGACAGCCTCACATAAGGATGTCAGTTTAATCATCCACTGATATGATGTGCAGAATGGAAATGGACCCTAGCAGAGGCCTTGTTGCTGTGTTGCTCTACGTCTGACTCATGCCGACTGACTGTGACCCGCTCAGGAAAACACAATATTATCTGTCTGGCCAGGCAGACAGGGTGGGCCTTTCCAGATTTTTTGTGTGCGGTTGTATTTAAATGATCACTGCATGGACTATTGTCTGGTATAGATTATTAACCGGTATTGTTTAACTATTTTAAAAGTAGAGGTTAATGGGGTTAATGATGATTGAATACTAAATTCTTCAGGTTAACATCTTTGTCCTCCCTGTGGGGCTTCTCAGTAAAGTAAAGGGTAGCCTGGCACATCTGTGCCAAGCAAAAATGTGGCCTTTGATGAGCTCTTCAAGGCAGAGTCAGATGAGACACACTCACACTCACACACTCACACACACGCACTGAAAGACTTGACATTTTGGAGATGAGTCACAAGGTTTCTGTTCAGGCTACGAGAATAGAGAACCATTGCTTAACAAAATAATCAGCATGCACATCACTGTATAGTCGGTGCATGAGATGCATTAACAATGATGATTCTTCTAATTCAATCTCGTCTTGCTCTTCTTGTCGTTTCAGCAGTTTTACAATATATCATTTCTCTTTTGATCTCTGTGCAGCTCTGTGCTTTTTCCTTTCATTATTTGAAGATTTCCTGGGTTAATCTGCAGACAGTATGTTACATGTATGTATGCAAGAATAATGAAACACTACGGGAATATTTATTTTAGATTGAGATTATAGAATGATACGACTTTCATGACTGTGCGCC